CGTCTTCCGCCTTTAACTTTCCACTAAATAAATAAATGAATAAGTGAGTCAGTTCATTTCGCAACACTGAATAAAAATGATAGATAAAGTAAGCAAATAATTAAAATAAATAAAATAAATTTATATAAAATTATTTAAGATCAGTATAGTATAGTGGGGAAGTGGAACCCATATTTGCCCTATGTATAGATAAACTCCTTGAGATGGCTTAAATTTCAGTAGTTAATTTCCTAAAAAATGATTTTTTTATACAGAAAATAATAATCTCTTCCCTGTTTTTATACGTTTTGCTTAAAGCAAAGTTAAAATAATTTTTTCTATGTTAATTGTATCCTTTAAATAAATAAAAGTGAATGGAAAAAATCAGTTTTTTTAAACTTAAATCTAAAATCGATCATTAATATTATATTTTCTTGCACTTAGAGTAACCAACTTTTGAAAATATTTCCAACAATACTTAACAATGAAACTATGACAACAATAAACTAATTGAGAGTTTTATAAAATTTTAAGAAAGATATTATTTAAACAATTGTTCACATTGTTGCAAACGAAGCATCTGATTTAAAAAGTTTTATTTTACTCATTCTTGTTTGAGATTTCTCAAATGCTGGTTGTCTTTTGTGAGATTAAAAAGTGAGAATTATGGATAAAAGCGATTTATATCGTTTTGCTCTTTTGAATCATTGGAGAAAGGAAAGGGAAAAGTATCCCCGACCTAATCGTAAGTGTATAAAAACATACTTTTTAATATTTTTTAAATTTTTTTTATTATTTATTGATATGGACCTACAATATTGTTAAAAAGATATGAAACTTCCTTACAGTGATCAAAATTTTTGCCATAAACCTAAATTTAATAAAGATTGAGAAAATTTCGTAAGCATTAAAAAAAAAATTGACAAAAAATGTTTGAGCATATTGAATAAATGATACTTTTGTCTTAAATTGAAAAAACAACTTTATGGATAATTAAATAAAATTTCTCTTCTTAAAATGGGTGATCCAATTTAACTTTTGGTGCACTACTGTATTAAATAGCAAATAAAGAAAATGTTCAAATAGAAATTTGGAGGGGTCAGAGTATAGAATTGGGTACCGCTTGTGGATTGGGCACTCCAATCTGAAGCTTATACTGAATGTTAAATCTGCCATTTTCCAGTTGTTTCTATCCAGATTTCTTACTTCCTTTTTTGCANAAAAAAAAAACACGAAGAGTGTCACCCAATTGTACATTTTTATTGAGAAATATAAACTTGATATAGATTTTATGCTCTTCTATATCTGATTCAAACATTTAAAAAAGTCAAATAAAATGCTACTCTCGAATATTATTTACCCATTTGAGTGTTATTAATTCACAATAAATAAAAACTGGTGTAAATATCTATCCGAATGTGTTAAAAAACTATGAAAAATTGTCTGTTATTTCAAGGTAATGCCGAATGGAGTATTTGCACACATCTTAATACAAGTAGTTAAATGTGAAGTACAATAAATAATTAAACTTACACCAAGCTGAGATGCTTTTAATCTATTTGTAGAACATTTTCGCCAAACTTGGCATACATGTGGAAACCGTCAAGCGATAGATATATTTTCGTAAGCAATCGAAAAGAAAATGTAAAAGTTTTATTTCGATAGTGTAATGCTGAATGAGATACTTCAAATTATTACCAGATGCATTAAATTATTTTTGCATCTAAGAATACTGACATTGGCGCATTTTGATATCACCAGTAAGTGTTGGTGAGAGTTTGTTGTGTTCTTCCAATACCTCCTAGAAGATAGAAGGCCTCTGCACCGCTTATCATAAACAAGAAATTTAATCCTTTAATAGTCCAAACGTAATGACATATTTCGTATTAACCATCACTGCCCAGCTTAGTAACCCGAACTTGGCGAACAAAGGCGTATCCTTTGGCCAAGAACCCGAACATAGAGAAAACGTACTTATTCTTGGATTCCCAAAAATCACCAATGCTGTTGCCAATGCTGCTTCATTAATTTTAGTAATATGAGCTACTCATACTGTGGTAATGGGATCTAAATCTACTTATATTAGTCTTTAGTATAATAAGCTTCTTAAGACTTTCCTAAAGGGATAAAGGATAAAATTGCTTTAATGTGGTAAATTTTGACAATGGATACTGAGTATTTTGGCAATTGCACATTGTCAAATGGCACTGAATATAGTTAATATTTATGTTGAATTTTTTTAATATAATAACGTTAAGTCACCGGGAAGCTCCAAGAGTAAATATATATTAAAATTAATAAAATAAAAATTAAAGAAAAAATGAAACTATTTAAGCTTCAATAAATGTGTCAGTATATGGTTTTCAGTTCTGCACATGATTAAGCAGTGTTGATAAATACCGTTTATTGATTATTTACATTTTTACAGCGTACGAAGAATATTCATACCGCTATTTTTTTAAACATTCTTTTTAATAAAATGGAGGTTTACAAAAATACGTACCTTTTTCAAAGAAGATTTTCTACCTTTTTATGAATTTCTTTTATTATTGAACAGACTAAACACTTAAGAGATTATTTTAAAACTAGTTTTTATTCAAATTATTAAATTTAATTTTAATTATTATTTCAGCATATGAGGATGGTACCGAATTCGAAGACGAATTCGATTTGGATGATATTGAATTGGATGAGATTGATTTGAGAGAAGGGTAAGTAGTTATATATCCCTAAAGTTTTATGCCTTTCGTCATAATTTTCTTTCTTTTTTTTTCTCAAGAAAAAAGTACCCTTTTGAGTATTTGAAAAATGTACAAAGAAAGCAAAAACGCAACTAAAAGCAATGAAACATTTAACCCTGGTCATGCTGGTAAGAATTAATTTTCGTTGAACTAACAGTAATACATAAAAATTAAAATTATGAGGGAAAAATAAAAAAAAGAATGTTTAATCTTTAGCTATATGTAACACAATAATATATTTTAATTTCATGTAAAAATTATATTTTATAGTTCTCGTGTGGTATCTTTCAAAGCAGTCTCCAATATGAAACCCAGGTTTTCGAGAATATGCGTCACAAAAATGATTAGCTTGGCGTCTTCGGCCTTTAACTTTTCTGTTTGAACATACAGAACAATCTTTTCTCTTTACATCTTCAAAGTGCCACAATAAATGTAGTTTGCCTTTACGATTGGCTAACATCTTTGCTGTGGTGGCAGAGCTCAGACATATGAGTGAAATGGTAAAAAAGCGTTTTCGGCTGAGAGTAGACATACGACCGCAAAGGATTTAAACAGTGGTCTTACTGTTTACATATTTTGGTCACAAAACACTATAGCTGTTAAAAATCGACTAAGATATGATATAAACATAAAAATAATGAACAGTCTTTTTCAATAATGCTCACCCAATAATAAAATAACAATCGAAAACATATTAAAATCAAAATTTCTTAAGATACACCGTTTTATTTTCTACACTCTAAACATAAAGAAACTCTGGAAGTCGACTTCAAAGAACAAAAAAATAATCAGAAATCACGCATTTTTTAATAAAAATCTATTAACTTAGGACTGATTTGAAAAATATATTTCTTTTATAATTTTAGGGATGATGAATATATGATGGAGTTAAGAGCTGAAGTGCCATCATCTGATGATGATGAAGTTGAGGATGATGATGTTGGGGATGATGATGAGGGTGATGATGTTGGTTATGAGGTTAAGGATGAGTTTAATGTTGATGATGAGGGTGATGGAGTAGAGGAGCTGAATAGGTAGGTTAATTAGAATATTTTCTAATGTCAGTTTAATATTTTAGTTAAAATGATCTTCAGTGTTTGAGTTATTTTTCATCCTTTTTCAGGTGACACTTTCGTAACTATTTTAAAATAAAATATTACCATAAAATTGTTAGTGACTACATATCGGTCTTTAAGTTTTATTAATCCCTATGAATCAATGGTTCCGATGATTTAAAATGAATTTATTGAGTATGAACAGAATTAATGCTAGCAATTATTTAAAAGATTCAAATCTTTGAATTGACGAAAAAATTTTTTTTTCAAAGGGCATTAACTTTACAAGAGTTGCAAAAGGCATAAACTTTACTTAATAAAATAAAATATTTAAAAATGCAAATGCTGAAGGAAGGATAATGAGACTCGAATAAACTAATTTTCTAAAAAGGATTTAATAATTCGTAAATAAGAACATTTTTATTCAGTAGTATAAAGTATAAACGATCTAAACAATTTTATACAAGAAAAAACATTTATTTTAAAAAACTAAAATAATGAAAAAAATGCAACTGAACATATTTCGTGTAGATTTTATTTCATTATTTCATAGGAATTTTCTTTACAACCATAAGTTATTTTTTCAAGGTCTATTAACGGATTCCGGAAAAAAAACAATACAAATTGAATAAAAAACAAATCCTCTGTTTTATAAGTTTTGAATAAAAGATGAATTAGGTAAATAACTAAATCATAAACATAATTTTTTTAACTGAAAAATCTTTTTCAATAGTAAGCCATGATTTTGGAATTTACTTATAATTGCTACTGTAGTTATTATCCTAACAAAAATCTATAATGGCCATTTTCTTTTTTAATAAATAATTAACTCAAAATATAAAATGAATAATTACACATCGCAGCATTTTTAAAACATCTGTGATCGTTGATAAGTTAATAAATTCTCTCTCTTTACAAATATATCTCATCTTTAACGAAAAATTAATTGAACAAAATAGCTTTATTGAATTTCAAGTTATATATTTTTTCCCTTTTCTTTTTTTTTTAACTTTTAGTGAGGAATTGTTCCTATTCAGCGATGTAAAGATAGCCAAACTCTATAAGATGGATTTGGTGCACGATAAGGACTCAATCGAGTATGGCATTGAGGACGATAGGTATTTTAACTTTTTCGAAACATTTTGAATATCGACATTGTTTTAGAACATATGTAAAGTAATTATTTTCATATATATAAGGAGATAATAGAGTATGAAATTAAACAGAAAACTAACATGAGCAAATCCATTTCGGGTAAATCTGTGGTTAAGAAATTTTATAACTAAAAATTAACCTTCTCCATTATTCAATAAATATTTTTTAACAATTGTTAATAATTTCTCTAAAAAATCATCGAATTTAAATGTTTTATTGGAACTTCGACCTTTTATTTCTTCACAATTTTGAAATATCCAGTATAATATATTAATACCATACTCAAGTTTAGTATTCGGTCCATTCTAATGTAAGCGAGAAATTAAATGTGGTTTTATACTTCAGTAAGAACTTAAAAATATATCAGATTATCATTTCTTTACGCTTTAATTTCATATTTTGTAATCTGGCAAATTTTTTAGAAAAATGTGTTTAAATCATTTTTGCAAGTTGTTCATAAGGAGATGACCGTCGACTGTTCTCATTTATCACCTTACGCTCCTATCTCTGTTCTATTTTGCGTTCTTCTTAATTTTGGGGGAAATTTTTGCTTTATGAAGTATTATTTTTAGAACGATTTTTTCTCTTCTTTTTTTTTTTGGTGCTCCTCACACTATTGTATAGATGTATTTTACTTCAGCTAAATTGATTAAAAAAATTGACAAAAAAATCATTTTGAATATTTTTAACTACTTTCAAGCAATTAGGATAAATTGATTCATGTAAAAGTTTTAAATGAGGAAAAATTTGCCAAAAACATATTGTCAATAAATCTGAAAAATAAAATCATAAATCCATCACGAAATTGCTTCTCATTATCGTAAATCATATAACGATTTTGATCATTGTAGAGTAAAAATCGAGTTGTTTGAAATTTGTGCTTCAGAAAATTTATCTGACCCTAAATGCCTTTTACTCTATACAAAAAGCTTATAACTGGAAATGAAGCTGTTGTAACAAAACAAAAAACTGTATTGAACTTTTTAAAAATGTGAGTGTTACTTTTAAATTTTAGATTAAAAAGTCATGATGGTCCCTTAAGGGACGAAATAGATTTTTGGCAACGAAGTGATATTGAACTTACCATCAATGAACAATCTGAACAAGAAGAGAAAGGATGCTTTCATTGCTTCACTCGAATCTTCAGGAGATTGTTCAAGAGAAAGTAAATCACGACTGGTCTGAAAGTAAACCAAGACGTGACTTAAAGTAAATCACGAATTGTTGTAAAGAAAATCATGACTTGTCCTAAAGTAAATTACGCTTTGGCTGAAAGTAAATGAAGACTTTGCTGTAACACCTGAAAAATTATATTACTGTTCCTTTCCAAAGTCTAAAAACTGTTAATCAAGAAAATTTAAAATGCAAATATTTAAACTGCTGTAATTATTTAACATCGGTAGATTGATTTTCAAATAAATTATAATATTTGCAAGTCCAAAGTGTTGTTATTTACAAATAGAGTAAAACATGCATCTAATTTACAATTCCTTATTAGTAAAAGGTGATAGTACATATTTCTTCTCATACCATGACGTGATTTCTTTCGACCAATAACCAATTTAATTTTAAAAGACAATGCACCTAAATTTGGATGTAATTATAATATTTATAAATAATAGCAAGAAATATCTTGTACTACAGCTTTTGAATCATTTTTCTGAAGGGAAACCGTCCTTTAAGCTAATTATTTCGAAACTTGGTCTTATATCGATGCAATAACATACTAAACTACCACATCAAGCCGCATAATTACGGACCAACTAAATGTTGTACACTGGAACATAATAGGGTGCATCCAATGTTAACCCACTACAGATACAATTCCCCTTAATCAGTGCGATAGGATAACTGCTTATCCCACAACTGTGAGTTCGAAAACAATGGCGGACTACGAAAGCGAACGTAAATAAAAGTGCTAATTAATGGCGAACTTTTTTTTTCTTCTTTTTATTACAGAATTAAAAACATTTTTGGAAAAATTAATGATTTTAATAAAATATTTCAATATTATCGCCTGCAATATTCCACTTTCTAAAAATACTCACTTATCAAAATTTCTGAAGATTTCGTGTTTGCTCTGCTTATATTATAACGACCTGTACTTTGCATTCATATAAAACTATACTTTTCAACATTTGTTCATTTATTATTTTAATATACTTAAATGCAAAGTTATGGAATGCTTAGTTTGGACTCAAGGGGACAAAATTGCAATGTCAAACTTTTTTTGTGTTCTCTTTATTTACAGAAATACCTAAATTCTGCTTTTATTTTAAACTATAGTTACAAAACCAAATTCCACCAATAGTTGAATGTACTTATAATTTAGGCCACACCACAAAACTGTTAACGAATTAGGAAAATATACTTACAATTTCTCCTATAGTTTTGAATTAATAAACAGGCCAGTAAGCATCAGTTCCAAGGATCAGAGATTCAAACCTCAGACATGTTCAGTATTTAAAAGTTAAATTTAGAGGAAATTTTTTTAAAAATTATTTTACAATATTGTAACGAAATAAAAATATTCCTTTGCTTAAACTTTTCCTTTCTTTTCATTTTCTAAGTGCGTATAATAGCGTTAAAAATGTAGAAATATTGCTCATATATTGTATATATTTATGGCTAAATATCATACTTTAATACTTATTAACCTATTATATTCTAACTCGGTCTGGTATTACATCATACCATACCAAAGGAAATAATTATAATAATAATTAAAAAAACATTTAGTTTTGAAACATACTTTTAAAATATTGACCATTAACGGGGTTTGACCCCTAGACCCTCGGATCTAGCACTTGCTTCCTACCTATCACTTAACACTAACGGTCACACCAGACCTGGTTTTGTGACTTATAACAAACTTTCGCACTTAGAAAAAGTAATAATAAAAATTTAAAGAAAAGGATCGTTTTATTTACGTTACTCTATTGTAAAAGACATTAAAAAAAACATTTATTTTTATGAAATATAATTTTAAAATATTGACATTTAGCGGGATTTGAAAACCCGAACCCCGAGTTCTTGCAATCAGTTTTTTAATATCCAGGGCCTGATTACCAAAAAGGCACAGGAAGCAAGTGCTTCCCCTGTAAAATTTCAGGGGGTCCCCCAAATGACTGAAATTAA